AAATATATAAAAAAAAAATCTGAACAGATTAAAGGAAAATCCCTTTTCTATGTATGGAACTACAATTGAATAAGTTCATTTTGATTGGTTAGCCATCGGCGTGATATCCTTAGTCGACTTTAACACTGCCTAGTCGTCGGAATAAAACCAACTTTGAGCCCGAGGTTAAAATCAGTATAGAATTTAAATGTGAATAGGTATTTCAAAGAATGATATATACTTGAAATGTGGTAACTTTATATCTGTATTTTTTCTATTATTCGCGGGATAGAAAGATGTGTTAATCGCTTAACCAACATGCCATGATCATCCTGCATATGCATGTACATGTACTTGTGCGCCCATGCAAAACGTTAAACGATATATAGTTTATATCATTGCAACTTTAATATCTTTAAATGAAATCCTTAAATGCTTAGTATTTATAAAAGGTCTTACAGGAAAAGCTAAGGCACGAAAAGGGACATGGGGAGCGTTTGGGGAACATCTGTAACGGTTCCCGTTACAATTAGCCCTAGTTACATATTGCCATTATGCACCTCCTATTTTACTTTTTGATCCGACACATATTTTGGGTTTCCCGGCCACAGCAAAACATGGACTTTACCATTATAACCATATGGGAGGCGGGGGTTATCATTTAGTGAGGTCATTGCTCACAATGCCTCTAGTTTATTATACCCCCGCTTGAAAAGGGTATAAACATGTACTGTAAAATCACATATTTTCGTGGGGTCAAATTTTCAAAGAAAAAACTAGAGGTACCATGAGAACTGAGCTCACTAAATGATACCCCCCGACTCCAATATGAAAATAATAGCAGTGTCTATGTTTTGCTTATGGAAACCCAAAATATATGTCGGATCAAAAAGTAAAATAGGAGGTGCACAATGGCAATATCTAACTAGAGGTACTGTGAGCAATGAGCTCACTAAATGATACCCCCGCCTCCCATATGTGTATAAATGGCAATGTCCATGTTTTGCTATGGGAAACCCAAAATATGTGTCAGATCAAAAAGTAAAATAGGACGTGTACAATGGCAATATGTAATAAAGATTCTGTGGTGTGAGAGGAGTTGCGGAAAAGAGATGGGTACCCCAAGCGTATTAGATGGATGGACAGATAGACGGACGGACATACCGATTACAATATACCCTCCCGCTTTTCAAGGAGGGGTATAATGAGACTTTCGCAGAATCTTTGTTACACAATATTATTAAAGGTTACCAATCTCTTATCTGCAACTCCTCCTATACCACTGAGTAAAATTTAACTAGAGGTTCTGTGAGCAATGAGCTCACTAAATGATACCCCCCGCCTCCCATATGGGAAACCCAAAATATGTGTCGGATCAAAAAGTAAAATAGAAGGTGCACAATGGCAATATGTAATAAAAATTCTGAGAAAGCTTCATTAAATTTCATTCAGTGGTATGAGAGGAGTTGCGGATAAGAGATGGGTACCTTAAAGCGTAACAGACAGACGAACGAACGGACGGACATACCGATTTCTATATACTGTATACAGGGAAATTTTTGCCCCCGTTTTATTTTCGCCCCTTTCGCCCTCTTCCTGATTGGGCGAATTTAAAACGGTGCGAATTTAAATTACACAGCATAACTTCTTAAACAAAACTATGACTGGGCGAATTTAAAACGGAGCAAAATAGTTCGTAAGTGCAAAAGGGCGAAAATAACACGGGGCGAAAATATCCCTGTATACAGTACTCTCCCGCTTTTCAAGCGGGGGTATAATAATACGTTCACATATTCTTTATCACATAATGCCATTATGCCGGAGGTATCATTTAGTGAGCTCTGTGCTCACAGTACCTCTAGTTTCTATTATGAATTATGTTGAAGGGTATGCTAGAAGATGAACAAAATATAAAAGGGAAGACCTCAACTGAATGTATTTGCATTTTTATACCCTCCGCTTGAAAAGCGGGAGGGTATAAAGTAATCGGAATGTCCGTCCGTCCGTCTGTCTGTTACGCTCTGGGGTACCTATCTCTTATCCGCAACTCCCCTTATACCACTGAATGAAATTTAATGAGACTTTCACAGAATCTTTGTTATATGGTGCCATTGTGCACCTCCTATTTTACTTTTTGATCGGACACATAATGCCATTGTGCACCTCCTATTTTACTTTTTGGCCTGACACTTATTTCGGGCCTCCAAGAGCAAAACAATGACTTTGTCATTATAATCATATGGGAGGCGGGGGTATCATTTAGTGAGCTCATTGCTCACAGTACCTCTAGTTATAATCATATTACAGGCGGGGGTATCATTTAGTGAGCTCATTGCTTACAGTACTGTAGTTTTAAATGTTCATAGAACAAATACATAGTGCAAATACAAATACTATAGCATTGAGGCAGATTTATGGTGCTTTCTTATATATGTGATACTAGTAGTCTCATTTAATTTCAATGAGTGTTAGAAAAGGAACTGCGGATAAGAGATGGACACTCCAAAGCGTAACAGACGGACGGAAGGACTTCCCGGTCACTATATACCCCCCTGCTTTTCAAAAAAAGGGGGATATGAAAATGTTTTGGAACCTGCTTAGAAATTCCAGAGCTTTGCTTTGAATCCATGAATCTTAGTAATATTGAATATCGAAAGAATTAATTGATAAACAAATAATTGGAAGACTTCTAAAGAATGACAATAAATGGAACAGTTTGTGTTGATCTCTCAAATTCGAACAAAATAAAATGCAAAAACATAATCGTCGTTTATTATACCCCCGCTTTTATAGAGATCCATCTGTCCGTCTGGTACGCTTTCCAGTACCCATCTCTTATACGCAACTCCTCTTTTACTACTGGATGAAATTTAATGATACTTTCACAGAATCTTTGATATACGAGGGTTGTTCGATATGTATTGTGTATTGTACGATATCTCAAAAGCATTCGATTCAAACAGTCAAATGGACATTACATCCCTTCAAAGTATTCTCCGTGATTTGAAAACACAATTTTAATCTCTGAATCCATTTCTGAAATGCGTCACGGTACGCTGATTTAGGTATAACCTCTGAGGCACTGACTGACGACTGAGCCAAGGGCCTGTCGGGACTTGTATCGACGACCAGATAAGAACTTTTTAAGTTTTGGAAAAAGGAAAAAGTCGCATGGTGCTAAATCCGGAGAGTATGGTGGGTGTGGCAAGACGGTAACCTTCTCCGACTTCAAAAATTGCTTCACAAGCTCAGATGTATGTGATGGAGCATTATCATAAAGAAGGCGAACATGTCTAAATCCCGACACAGGACGTCGTTTCTGATATTTCTTGAGCTTTTTCAGTACAACATCTCGGTAATACCGACCTGTAACACGTTTGCCCTTCGGCACCGGAATTTGTACGGCTAAAACGTCACAAGAGAGGAATATGCAATAAAGGACATTCTTTATGCTCATTGTCCTTTTGGCAACTACAGGCCTTCTACCGTGTTTGGTTAGCCATAATTTGTTTCCAACTTTTCTTACTGGTTCGAAATAGTGAACCCCTGTTTCGTCACCAGTAACTATGTTTGCAAATTGTCTTTGATTGAAGTTTGGAAACATTTTTAGCAGTCGCTTAGCGGTTTGTATTCGTACCTTTTTTTGGTCATCTGTCAATGTATGGGGTATCCATCTGGCAGAAATCTTTCGTACTTTCAAAATACGCTTCAAAATGAAATGCACCCGCGATATGCCAACAGCTTTGGCAATATCACGAATCGTGTACCTGCCATCACTTTCAATTATTTCCTTGACTTTTGAGACATTTGTCTTGCCTGATACAGTCACAGGTAGACCCGATTTTGCTGCATCTTTGATGGACTCTGTGCCAGTCAGAAATTTCTGTCTCCACCTACGAACTGTCTCATAAGATACCTTATCAGACCCATAAACTTCCCCCAATTCAGTAAAAATCTGCTTTACCGAATTATTGAGTGTTGTGCGAACTTTTATATAAGCTCTAATTTCTTCAATATTCTCAACCCTTTTCCCAACCATTTTTACAACAGTGGTCAACGACTGGCTCTATTGAAATGACGATTATTTTATAACCATGTGTAGATGAAGGCTCGTGTTTATACTGTTGGCAAGGTATTGAATAGAGTTATCCAGGCGTATAAATATCGACGAAATCGTGCAAGGCGTTATCGCGCTGTGGTACAATACACAACACATATCGAACAACCCTCGTATAGTGTCATTGTGCACCTTTTATTTTACTTTTGGATTGGTCACATATTTTGGGTTTCCCATGGCAAAACATGGACAAGGCCATACTTTCTATTATACTGTACTGAGGGGTACCCATCTCTTATTCGCAACTTCCTTTACTGCTGAATAAGAACCGATATATCACAGATTCTTTATTACATAATGCGATTGTGCACCTCCTATTTCACTCTTTGATCTGACTCTTATTTTGGGTCTCCATGCGCAAATCATGGACTCTGCTTTTATTACCATATGCGAGGGGGGGGGGGGGGTATCATTTAGTGAGCTCATTGCTCACAGTACATCTAGTTACACTTTGCAAAGTACATGTGCGAGTTTTTTTTCTTTCAAATTTTGTTGTTTGTTATGCCTTCTCCATTTTAGATTTAATTCAAAGGGCCATATTTATAAATTTATTTCAAACTAGAATTATTGCGAGCAATGAGCTCATTTAATGATACCCCCGCCTCCCACATGAATATATAATGGACTTTGGACCTCAAAATCAATAGGGGTCTTCATTAGGCCACGGGAGTGTTTATGTTTTGCTATGGGAAACCCAAAATATGTGTCGGATCAAAAAGTAAAATAAGAAGTGCAAAATGGCAATATGTAATAAAGATTCAGTGAAAGTTTCATCAAATTTCATTCAGTGGTATGAGAGGAGTGGCGGATAAGAGATGGGTACCCCAAAGCGTAACAGACGGACGGACGGACATAACGATTACTATATACCCTCCCGCTTTTCAAGAATAACAGAAAACAAATGTTGAATATCATATCATCATTTTATGAAATCAGTAAAAGGACCGCTAAACTACATCATTCATCTGATATAGCAAGATGCAAAGCGTCCACTATATCCGGAAACACGTTTTCTTCCCCGACCGTCTTCATCAACTCTGACCTCGACATCACTCCCAGAAAGTTTGTGCTGCACCTGACCAATAGAACTTTAATCCCAACTGACCGGTATTCCATGACAACTAGCGACATTATGGAAACTCCATTACTGTCCACATAATTGAAAGACGAACAGTCAATGACAACATACTTCGTCTCGGTGTGTATGTCCCCTTCACATAGTCTGTCTTCGAGGTTGCCACAGGAGGAAGTTTTGTTTTTCCTACTTTCCCTAGGAGGTCTTTCGTCCACAGAAATTGACACCTCTTCCGAGCTTTTCTTCATTTTCCTTGGATCTCCGGCCAGTTTGTATAAATTTTCACGAAAAGACTCCGCTGTTGCAAAGAAAAGGGACGATTCCATTTTAAATACCTTCACATTTGACGGAAGAACTGTGTATTTTGACTCTTCAACATACAAATCTTCGTTCACCACTTTCCCAAACAAACCCACTTTTCCTTTCTGGCTTTGAAACACGACCAAGAAAATACTTAGTCCAACTCCACAGTATAAAGCATAAGGAAAATCAATAAAGACTCCACACATTATTGTGGCTACCCAAACGGTAAAATCATATTTGTTTATCTTCCATAGCCGTGGTAACTGGCGGAACTGAAGAAGCAGATTCTTAACTGCCATGATGACCATTATAGACAAAATGGGCAATGGTAGGTATTGAAAGTACTCTCCTAAAAACAATAAAATAAGCAATATAACGACAGCTGAGAATAGTCCATTTAATGTGGTTTTGGTCCCCATTGTGTTCAGTAAAATTGTACGAGGTGGTGCTACACAGGAAGGAAAGCACCTGAAAAAGGAACCACCAAAGTTGGACATTCCGTACGCTACCAGTTCCTGGTCGGCATTGATGGTGCTCTTACTCTCGCAGACTTTGGCCATGGAAATGGTCAAAACGAACACTATGATGGCAATCACGACAGAATCTCCTATAATACCAGTTGTTATGTCAGGAAGAGTAGGAGGTGGGATTCCTAGAGAGATTTCGCCTACAACTGGTATTTCGAATTTAGATTTTAGGTTCCCAAAGTACGATACAATAGTTCCACAAATCACTAATATAAGATCTATTGGAATCGGCATGTACAGTTTTGATTTAAACTTTTCATTTATAAAGTCTTTGAAGAATATTAGAATTATGATACAAATTATCGATGTGAGAATGGAACCTACATTAACAGTGTTTATATTTTTAAAGATTTCGATGTACGTTTTCACTAATTTCCCCGGGCCAGCGACCGATGGTATCCGAACTCCAATGCTCTTCGGAATTTGACTCGTGATAATATGAATGGTGGCAGTGGTCGTAAAAGACCCTATAAATGGGGTTGACATGTATGATGCTATAAAACCAAATCTTAACAATCCCCATGCTAGAAGCAAGATCCCCACTATGAAAGAAGAACCTGCTGCGACAGCCGCCTTGGCTTCCAGGAAGTGCTCCTCGTGTATTTGCGCAGACTCAGTGCTGCCGTTGGAACTATTGGTGCTGCCACCACTCCAAGAAGGTAACGTTACATGACTTTGAACAAGATTTGCCGTGAATAAGGCTATCACAGCGTTTGTTCCAAACGATACTGTTGGGCAAGTTCCAAAAATCACATACAAAATAACAGGATAGAATGAAGTGTAAAGTCCATACTTTGGCGCAAGGGATGCGAGTATCCCAAACGCCATTCCTTGGGGAAAATGAAGGCAAGCCACGGATAGTCCACTAACGACATCTTTGATCAGATACTCTTTGACGTCATAGCGACGTAAAACGCCAAAAATTGGAAACAAAGCTAAGAGATAGTTTAATAAATTAGCATGTGTACACTTGCAGTTTTCTATATTTCCACACTTGCCGTCATCATATTCTTTTTCAGTAACATCGTCTAAGCTCCCTTGCGTTTTAGGATGACGTATTAAAGTCACGTGTTCTATCAATTCTTCATGGCTCTGTATCGTCGTATTTCTCAAGATACTATCGTCCTCTTTATCCTCGATTCTGGAAAGAGTTAATATGCACAAGTTTTCGTCAATCATACAAAGGTTATACAACATAAATATTAAATAAAATTCAGTACGTTGGTGTGTGTATATACAGTGTATTTGTACACGTATACACTCAATGTTTATAAACATATTTTTCATTATGTTATATAAAATTTATATTTGATATAATTTGCCAGTATATGTTAAACTAAAACATAAAATATTTTAATTTTTAAAGTATATTTATCTCGTCATTTCACATTTACATTTGTAAACATGTGCTTGAAATCTAACATATATGTACATAAGAGTTGACAAAATGTTGTTTGTCGTGACAATTAGTCATTTCGAGTGTCTAATTTTATCAAACTCAACATCGAAAAACAAGGATAAAGGATTCTTTGTTATTAGAAAATGTAAATGAATTTGTTGCAATTTGCTGATTATAATTCCTATCATGTACTAGTATTTTCTCGACAATTTACCACAAAGTCCTTATAACAAAATTGATATGAGCTTGAGATTCTTTCAATCATGTAGATGTTTTTTATGAATCTATTATCCGTAGAGATTTTTTAATCGTACCATATATGAGTACGTATTCAAATACAAGCCATGGCTGTATTTTTAAAAAGATTGTCCTTTACTAGCTTTCGTATAACAGCTGTATAAGGCTATCATGACCTCGACGTTTAACTGATCTTTCTGTATATATCAACTTTATGTTTGTTGTACAGTTTTAATGTGAAAGCCTCGTGTATTCAACGTAGAAATATGAAAGAAAGATATACGTATGGCGATTTCGATATTACACATATGTTTTAAATTAAAAACTAATCAAACTAAAGTATCATTGCAATAAATATCAATCAGAAATGTTCCACATTCCTCATGTGTTTCTACCTAAATGACAATACGTGTATTTTCATGCAGTTTTTCAAATAAGTGAAATGATCGTCTGCTTTGGTGTTCAGGGATTAAACGGAAGTTTAAAAAAAAGGTGCTACTGTTGTTTGGAAAATGGAGGCATCTAAATCTATAATCTATTCACACCATAATTTGCACAATGAATACCGACATTCTTTATCATTATTTGTTTTTGGATAAGAATAACTAACTCTATACATGTAACATGTGTGATGTACAAAATGATAACACCAGATTAACAACAAAGGAACGTTTTGATATCGATTAATTATTCCTATTTTTAGCTAGCAAAAATAAAATACTTACTCCGTCATTTCTATACCACTCTGAAGCATTCGTTGCGGACATGTGCACACCACTCAAACCCTGAAGTTACACCACATGACGAATATTTATAGCTCACCTGAAACAAGAATCTGCAGTGAAAATAATGCAAATGTGACGCAGGAAATAAGAGTTCAAAACTAATTGACATTTATGAAGTGTTTTATTCATGTTGTAAATTGTCAATATTTTTATAGTCACATTGTGCATATTAAATACATTCAGAATTAACTGAAAGCTTGGCGGACCTTACTAAGGGGAGAGAGGTGTGTGTGGAACATACCCCCACCCACAACCCCTCCCACCCCTAAAAAAGAAAGAAATTATCATAAGTGCGTGATGATGTTTGGATGGATTAATTTAGATGAGTTCAAATGAGTTGTATAGATACAGCACATTACATGTATATTTTTATTTGAATTACTAGACTTAAAGGAGAAGGTATATGTCAGCGTATTTAAATTCTTACTATATATGTATATGTAATACTAGTATATTTAATGATCTTGATCAAAGGCGGATCTTGTCAGCTTTCGGGGCCGAAGCCCCCGGACCCCCAAAAAGGACCTTGCCTTAGACCCACTGGGGGCTTCAGTACAGCTACCAGACCCACCCCCCCCCCCCCCGTTACGAAATTCCTGGATCCACCGCTGTTGATTGCAACTGTTGCAATATCTTTGATATTCTTTTTCCTCTTTTTCTTTCTTTAGTTTGGGGTAAAGCTTAATACAGTAACACTTGAAAGAAAATTGACAACTCTTGTTCGTCTGTTCTACAGAAGAAGTTTATATGAATAAAATTTTCTCTCTACATTCCTTTTAGCTCAAGTGAGCTTTTCTGATCACCCAATGTCCGTCGTCCGTCCGCTCGCCAGTCAGTGTAAACTTTTCACATTTTCAATTTCTTTTCAAGAACCACTGGACCAATTTTAACCAAACTCGATACAAAGCATCCTTGGGTTAAAGGGAGTTTAAATTGTTAAAGTGAATGGCCATGTCCCTATACAAGGGGAAATAAACAAGAAAAGACAAAAATAGGGTGGGTTTATTAAAAAAAACTTCTGAGGCACCACCGGGGCACAAAAGCTGAAGCTTATGTGGAATCATCCTTGGGTAGTGTTGATTCTAAATTTTTCAAATCATGACCCCGGAGGTAGGGTCGGACCACAATAGGGAATCTAAGTTTTACATTGAAATATAGAGGAAAATTCTTTAAAAATCACTGGGCCTGAAAAGCTGAAACTTATGTGGAAGCATCTTGGGGTAGTGTAGATTCTTCATTGTTCAAATCATGATCCCTGAGGTCGGGCAGGCCACAATAGATATTGCAGAGGGGGGAATCTGGTAAGGAACAAAGTTACTTGGGTGAGCGATGTGGCCCATGGGCCTCTTGTTAATTTTTTGACTCCATATAGTGGCCCTATTATGAACTTACTATTCTTGAGAAACTTTTTAAAATACTCCAGACCTGAGCTTTGTTTTTTAGTTGCCGTTACTAGATTATTTCCCTTCCTTCGGCAAGGAGGCATATCACTTCACGGGGTGGGGGTGGGGGTATATCCCTTTACCCGAGGAAGCTTAGTGCCAAGTTTGGTTGAAAATAGCTCAGTTTTTCATTTTTCTTTAATTATGGATAGACAAACGGCCGGACGACGGTAACTTTTTGATAAGAAAAGCTTTATCATATTTTCGGCAGGTGGGCATAACAAATTCATGTATCTACTCGACCTTATCTTAATACACACTTTATTACCTGATGTTTAAACTTAATTCAAGAAGATTGAAAACTGTGATAACTGATATTAATAAACATGTTCCCAGGGCCAAAACGTCACTTCTGGAAAGGGTTTTTAATTGTTTATAGAACTGTAAAAAAAAAAACAAACAAACAAAATCACCTGTCTTTTCTCATACTCTCATAACTTTTTTCACATCACATACTACTTATTTATTAAAAACATACCACATATGTTTTATAGATATTAATTTTATGTCCACATTTTTAATAATACACAGATTTATCATTGTTAATGTTCTATTATTTATATTGAATGGCGTTTTAACACTCATAAAACAAGTTTATATTGCTACAGATTATTTATCAGAAAGGACTAAATCACTTTGAACAGAGCTTGAAAACGTCTTTAATTTCTGGGTAAGCATTCAAAACTTTTTCTGGCATTTTAACATTATTTTTTATTAACAATGTAAATATTTTAATTAATACATCGTAGAGAAGAGGTAGGAAAAGTATAATACACAAACACATCGATTTCTATGAAAAATTTATTTGCAAAAAGAAGATGAACAAAGCGACCAAAATGAGTATTGTGTGACAAATAATCATGTCAAAATTAAATTGTAAAGCAACTTTCAGTTGCTATTGTTATTTTTTATTTCTATCAATTTTAAAATTTTTCCCACATTGATTTATGAGAAGATATATTTTTAAAATTCGATAGTCACTTCCGAAATTTATTTATTTATTTTATTATTTATTTATTTCTGTGGAAAAAAAATATAATGAATGAAATATTTATGAAAAAGTAATTATTATTTCTTGGTACTTAAAAACATGGACCTATATTTTAACTAACTATCTTAGTATATAGTATATATAGGTCTCTACTTAAAATAAATAATTAATTTTAGAGAGATTTGTTACCTTTTGCACTCATGCGCATTCATTTCATTTTTACATCGAGATCGGTGTTACTAAAATTTGGTACTCTGAGTACTGGCGGGAATTGAAAGTGATAAACTCAATAGAAATTACAATGGATGAGTTTGAAAACGGTTGAAGCTTCGTATGCTGCTTGAACTTAGCCTTGACGAACCTTAAGAATGACTAGCGAAAATTGGTAAAATCATTAACAGTGAGATTAATAAGTTTCAACATGTAAATCATTGCATAGCACCAAAGTGAACAGCAGGTTGGATGGTTTTATCATATCAAAGACTCATTCATGCTAGTCCTTGATTTAAAACGGGTGTATAATCTCGATTTTCAGAGAGCATTCTTCCTTTTTTTTTAACATTCGTAATGCACCATAATGCATGATGTTCTTTGGTTTTCTGCTAATACAGTGGAGTCGCCAATTCCGGGTCGTCTCTTTTTTATTCCGGGTCACTCGCGTCTATTTTATGCCTAGTGTTAAAATTTAAGCGCAAAAAACTTAATGAATACGCTGGTCGTGAAGAACTGGTCTTTCTGTATGTAATTAATTACAAAATTTTGAATATCAACTTTAAGAGAGCATCCGACAATCGAAATTCTGAAACGCACTCATGAAAGACTTGGATGTTTCTGCTGCAGTGACGGGCTACTTTCGTTTTTGTTCGCTGCAGAAAGACTGATATAAAAGTTGTAGATAAATAATAAGAGCTCAAAAGAATGGCAAATACATTTAGTTTTAACTCAGAAATCAATCATAATGATCGCTGCTCAAATAAAATTATAATGATGATTAAATCAAACTGTAGTAGTTTCTCCAATTGCGGGTCACGCAATCTCGTAGCATGAACATGTCAAAATTCAATGTACAAAACCAATCGACAACCATGTATTTACCTTGATTATCAAAAGTATTCTAACTGGAAAATATATTTTTAAAAATAAAATCGAGTTACCCCTTTACATGCATTTCTTAAATAAATGAATTTAAGTTGTATTATTTTTAATCCTAATACATTTTTTCCATTCTGCATACTGCAATTTGTTTTGTTGTAATTGTTTTAAAAATAATTTAAACATATTTCTGTGGTTGTTTTACTTTTTTTCCAAGCTGTATGAACTGTTTTATGTTTTAACATCATAAAAATCGTGTTCCGAAATGTTCCATGAATATTACACGACCGTGAAGTCACATGACCTGGAAATGGAGAAAATGATTCGTAACTGGGGAAGCTAGGCCTTGCTGAAATACCACTGTAAATATTGTTCCCGTGTAGCTATTTTGAAAACGAAAAGGTGTTTGGATGACTCACTATTTGTTCTTTCAATACATATATTGCATAAAATATATATTGAACAGATTTGCAAAATATCAACAAAACACCCTGACGTGACCCGGAATAGGCGACTTCACTGTAGGGATACCCAGCCCCGGCCTCATTCGCTGGGCCACATCAAACCTAAGTCATTAATCTCAGCGAGATGGGTAGAGACCAAAATTTTAGTCTCTACCCATCTCACTGAGATTACTAAGTCATAAACATGGGTAGTGACACTTTCTATCATCAAGCACCCGACACCATAAGTCAGGGGTCTCTCAGATGAGTACTTAAAAACTTAGGTCTAGTGTCACTGTCGGCATTGGCATCATACAGAAACTTGGATGCTTCATGGCTCTGAGGGCAGAGTATAGGTACAATGTAGGTTTAAATTTGAAGTCTATACTGGCATACTGTGACTCATCAATTGAAGAGTGAAAAATTCTCAAATGGAACAGTTTAAAATCAAACAGGAATGTTGTTTGATAGGGGTGGTACAACTCTAAGGCATTGCAATTCAATACATATCTTGATACATATAATGTGTTAATATACCCTGTTACAAGATTAACAAGAAATTAGAAAATTGTGATAAAATTAGTGTTCAGTTGTTTTCTTGAAATTACATCATATCAGGTTCCAGCTTCTTTCAGTACCAATTTTATTTTCCATACATTTTTACATTACCCTCATTTGACTATACTTTAACAAAGGAAGTGGATGCGGTCATTGTCTCAAGCCACGATCTGGAGTCTGCATATATCTCTCTCCTACCCGTGGCTGCTTGATCACAAAAAGTGTAATAATCTTCAACATTTACACCTCTCTATTGTGACATCATATTCAGTCATTGACAAGTTTTGTTGCCATTGCAATTGATATCAATAATATTGACGTCACAGTATACAAGAAATATTTTGTACACTGCGATTGGATATTGAAAGGTCGCATCAAAGTTCATTTTCCGACTATGCTTTACTCACATTGGTCAATATTTTAATGATCTATGAAATATTTTCTTCTCATTCAACCATGACCAGAATGGGAGAGGATTGTACATTATCAGGCCGTGGTTTGCAACGATGGGGTGGGTGGGCTTTCAACTGAACATTTTCAATAATGAAAAGTTCTTTGGAAGAAAGATGGGGGCAGCCCCCCTCCCTCCCCCTTATCCTGTGCTGTACCTGCCTGTCAACTTCCAGTAGTACAGGTAGTACATTTCACATGCAACAGATTGCAGGTCTGTTAGGAACTGCCATTTAAGAAAGGGATTTCATCATTATCTGTAATTTTCCCTTACTTGATGTTTTGAAATGCTCTCTCAAGTTCAATTAATATCTAATGACACAGCAGCAAAGTCAAGGTGTATTAAATTAAGGAATTACCGGTATTAGGAAAAATATAAACTGTATTGAAAAATAGGATTGGAAGGAAAATAATTAAAAAGAGAAGGAAGGGCTTGTTTTCTTTCATTTAGGGGTTTAAGCCAGGTGAAAGAAACACTGCTGTTAATAGAGCTAGGATCCTAAAATTGGAATCATAGTGCAGAGTGCTTCATTGTAAAATCATTGAGTTTGTGGTATACCTGACTAATAGCATATAAAGGTGGAAATGCATTTATAGGGTGACAAATCTTTTCATCTGTTCTTTTTTTGTTGTAAATGAAGTGAATTTAATAATAATCATGGAAGGCATGGAATAAGCAGTTCTCTACGTAGCACAAAACATAATATTATACCTCATTAAAATTATTCTACACAACACGTTATGTGATTGGTTCTAAACTATCATGTGATTGGGCCATAAAAAATCATACATTTATTTCACGGTTGTAGGCATGCTTTTCATCATGTTCCACCTCTTCAGATACCTAATGTATTTTCCCACAATGCAGTTATCGTTCTTTGAAAGTAAACTCCAGAGAGTAATAGACGTCACAATTATCTGGTTGACGTCACAAAATTGCTGATTAGTGATGTGTCAAATGGTTTCAGTAACTTTACGTTAAAAATGAAAGTGAATTTCAGAGCAGTGACAAATTTGAAAGTCTATGTTTATTTAAAAGTTTTTGATTGTTTCGGTATAAAAACAATTCATTGCATGAATGTTCGGGAAACTTGAAGATTTATTCAGCCAAGAAATCCCTTAGGTGAAGCCCTTGGGGAATATGATTTTTCTTGGCTGAATAAATCTTCATATTTTCCTCACAATCATGCTATAAATTTATATTTATATGCAATGTTGTTAGATAAATAGACATGTAATGATCTTCTAAAGAGAAAGTGGTTTGGACTTCCAGTTTCCACATAAACATAGTATTCAAAACATCGCAGTTTTCGAGATACCGAAGTTAGGTCGTTCCTTACTTAAGACCGTGGAACATTAACTGGCAAGATTGAAAATATGCAGCTTACGTCATTTCTATCTGTTACAATCAAAACATTCAATGATAGACAATGAATGGGCGGGCACAATTCGACGCTGACGTGGGGAAAATATTGGATTGAAATTGGAGTTTGAAATTCATTTTCAATCCACCTCAGCTACGTTAGAACGGAACGCACATTATTACTGATTGACCCAGAAGACAAATAATTCCAATTTTGGTATAGTTTGAAAATAATATTAGTTACACAGTCAGTTAGTGACCTAATACGGATTCATACAGGGCGTGAAATGGAAATCCGTATTGGGCGAGGCGAAGCCGAGTCCCAATACGGATTTCCATTTCACACCCTGTATGAATCCGTATTAGGTCACTAACTGACTGTGTAACGAATTTATCCCGCTGAAGACCTTTTTCAATATAAAAAAAAAATATTTGTGCATATTATGAAAATATTAGTTTTTATCCAATAACAATCAACATAAAATATCGTTACGGTAACAAGAAATTTAACTGAACTACCTACGTTTAACCGTTTCTTAGCCACCATTTTTATTTACAATAACAACGCTTCGAACGGAATCGCGTGCCCGATTTTCATATTACGCCTCGACGGAGACGTAATATGGAAATGGAGACGTAATACGGAAAATTTCAGGGCGTCACGTGATTAGCTTTTATCCAATCAGTAATCGACAAATTTGTCTGAAGCGGGATAATATATAAATCAGAATTTTCTGTCCACTGTTTTAAAACAATATATGAAGGGACAAATATCTGATTTCTGTTTGGTATAATTTATGTATGTGTGCGTTGGAGAGGGGGGGGGGGGGGCTTAATGATCTTGGAAATAAATAAGAAAGCTGTCAAACATTTTTCATGGAAGACAAAACTAAAAAAGCTCTTGTCATCCTAAAAATTAATTGGTATATACAAAGCATGATCTGACCGACAATTTTTGACCACCCCCCCTTCTAGAATCAAATGACCGTCTCCTGAAAAAATGTCTTCTATGACTTTTACCAGTGTCCTACGATTATATTATAAGCTAATAAACTCATATCAATATAAATTTCAACCAACATGCATTTGGGAATTGAAATATTTATCTTTTGGATCATACATTCACACTTTGCTTTTGAAAACAGCCCAGGTGGATTGAAAATGAATTTCTAACTCGAATTTCAATCTAATGTTTTCCCCACGTCCGAGTCGAATTGTTACCGCCCATCTCATTGTTTTGATTGTAACAGAAATGATGTGAGCTGCATATTTCCAATCTTGCCAGTTAATGTTCTGTGGTCTTAACTGATGACAGTCACAAACACTGCTCTTTAAATCATAATAAAAACCATTATGAATATAGTATTCAATTAAGATACAATAAATAAGTTGACTTACTTCTAATTTGTCATTGATTCACATCCTATTCCTTCAGTTGTAAAAGACAACCTGCTGCTCTGTAGCTGTGAAATTATAAGGTGATAGAAATCAATAGTGTCATACTCGGCATGGATAGTGTGAATATCACACAGTACCTTCTTTCTATACATGAAGCTTTGCTAATGGGGCACTATAGATACAATAGAATCATTACTACTGCTGCTGCTAGGCATGCATCCATGTTCTTAAAAAAAAAACTAATGGAGCATGTTGAATATAACATTCATTTGGTTTATTTCAAGAGTAGTGCTTTTAGTTTTTCAAAACTGTTGAAAGGTAAAACCATTATCAAATATATTGTTTACTGCCCTTTGATACAGTTGGCAGCAGACTGTTATCTTGAAACACAACAATTTCAATATCAGTGTAGAAAATAATACATCTACTTCTTAATTTACTACAGTTTTGACTTGTAATGAATATTTTT